TGCAAATACCTGCGGAGACGAATAATAATAATGAAAAAAAAGGGTACCCTTTTACCATGTGCTACAAGAAGGGTTTTAAATTGTATATTCAGATTAAGGTGCATGCGTATCATGAATTATAATAGACCCTTCGCGTGCCGTCACTTGATCCTTTTTTATTCATCGCGATTGTAAACATGTGACTATTTCGTTACTATTTTAAAAGCAAGGGGTCTGAATATACATACTAAAAAAAAATCACTCAGAAGGGATAATATTGAATAATCATTCAGTTTTAATCCTTTTTTTTCAAGAAGCACGACGAATTGTTAGAACAGATCAATTTTTCAACAGTTTTCAATATAATATAATATTTATTAAGATAGGAAAACATTTATTTCAAAAAATAAATGTGAAAAAAATAGAATTTCTAAAGTCAACGTTTTTGCAAAGTTTCGTATTTATTGATGTACGAACTCACTGACTGAGATCGAAAATTCAAAATGGCGGATCCAATATGGCGGTCGAAAAAATTACAAATCTCTCGAATTGGAATAAAATTTGCTACTCGAGGGTTTTTGGGGTCGCTGATTACGAACCTAAAGTCAGATTTTCAAAATTCAAAATGGCGGATCCAATATGGCCGACATTTTTTTCAAAATTGGTCGACCCCGAAAACCCCCAAGTAACAAGTTTCAAAAGCTCCCTAAATTTGAATTAGAAAAATTTTTCACTAATTTTAAATAGTGACCGATTTTTTGCTTTTGAATTAGTTCATTTTACTAATAAATTAGTAGAAATTACTATTAACTAGTAAAATTCACTAATTCAAAAGCAAAAAGTCAATCACTAATTAAAATAATTTAAACATTTTTACTACTTTAAATTTAGAGAGCGAATTTAAGCAATTTGGAAGAAGAATATCAAATTGAGACAAAGTTCACTTATTTTTATTAAGCAATTCAGTGAAAAATTACATTTATTATTAAAGTTTCATTTATTTATTTATTATTTACTTAATTGACAACAGAGAATATAGATTTAATGATTATATGTCATTTTAAAATTAAGGATATCAAAAAATTTCGTTACAAACCTCAGTAAGGAATTATTAATAAATGATATCAGAAAAATAAAAAAAAAAAATAGAAAAAAATAGAAAAAATATAGAAAATATGTATATATTTTGATATATGTATATATATCAAAATAGAAAATTGAAGTTTTTTAAAATTCAAAAATATGGTTTTGGCTTGAATTCATGGATCTATTATTTATTCTTAAATTTTATTTTGAAACTATTGTTATAATAATTCTAGTTGTTATTGGATTGGATTTTGTTTAAATTTATATTATTCAGAGATTTTTACGGTCGCTGATTACGAATTTGAAGCAAGATTTTTAAAATTTTGAAAATTCAAAATGGCGGATCCAATATGGCGGACATTTTTTTAAAAATTCCTCAAATTTGCATAAAGCTTGTTAGTCGGGGGTTTTCGGGGTCGCTGATTACGAAACTAAAGTCAGATTTAAAAAATTAAGAATAAGTAAATCCAAAACTTTTTTAGTTACTTCCTTTCTGGTGTGTTTTAGATTTCTAAATCCATAAAATTGTAAAGATCAACTTAATTATTATCAATGTTAAAGTTTATTACGATCTTAAAATTGTTTCTTATCAAGAAACTAATCATTAGAATTTATAGTATTAACTGCGAAATGAATCAAAAAAATTAATTCTATATCTATAGCAGTTCTAAACATATATTTTTAAAATGATAATAATTATATACATCATAAGTTAATAGTATCAAAATGTAATATCAAGTTTAGCAGTAATAAAACATCCATTTGTTGTAAATTTCTATACCTTGGTTTCAATTATTTCTTTCTATTAACTTCATAGTTCTCTATTATAATATATATCCTGTATACTCAATATTCTCAACAATAAACCACTTCAATCGTCATCTCCATTGAAAATTTCAATTCCCCTAAACGTTTCCCCGCCAAAACTGCACCAAGAATATATATAGAATTTGCTCCCACCCTCTCTCTTTCTTTCTCTCATCCCAAGAATCAGAGCGCGTAGAATATTGTTCGCGCCTCTTTTCTTGAATTCGCGCTATGGAGAAAATTGAAGGTGGGGGCGTCATTAAAATCAATACGCGGCTCGTTTTTCTACCTCTCTCACTGCTTCAGAGCAAGCTTCATAGCGAGCTTCAGAGTCACATCCCCTCTTCTACTCTCTCTCTATATTCCACTCCTGTTCTCTATTCAAGGGGAGGTAAAAGGGCAAAAGAGGGGCTAATTCCCCCACCACTTCTCGAGAGAGAGATTTCTTGGTGGGGGGAGGGAGGAGGAGGGCAAAGAGTCGCAGATCGAAAAGCAACAAGAAAGAAAGAGGGTTGAAGAGAGAGGGGTATACTTACAACCCTGCGATAAGGGAAGGGTATATGACCGCGAGTTTAGGCACGCAGTGAGATGAGAGGGGAATTGCGCGTCTCACTATGACCAATAAGAGCCACTTTAAAACACCTTTTTTACCCCCCTTATCACTGCGCATGTCGGATTCAAATCTTCAATTCTCGGGGAAGCTGTGTGTGTTCGCTATATGGAAATATGATAGCGCGATAAGAGGTGTATAGAGGAGATGGGTTAGGTTATTCGCGATACCAAACTTATGGCGCCTCCCTTTCAACCAATAAGAGACGTTTTAAATCTTTTTTTATATAAAGGGTCCTGCGCATGTCGAATTTAAATCCTCTCCATGTTTATATATCGCCTCACTCTACACTTTATATGAAAAAATCATCCACACCTGTCTTGAAGTCTTCCTTGTGTTCTTGAAGTCTCGTTCTTTTGTCCATTCGAAAAAATTTTTAATATCCTCTCCTCTTTTTTCATCTTCTCGTCATCTTTCTTTTCTCGAAAAATTAGCGAATTCGCCAATTTTCCTTTTCGGAAAAAGAGAAGAAGAAAGAGTTTTTTAAATTTTTGCGAAAATGGGTAAACATCAACCGACGGATGGATTCACCATGGATGACCACTTCTCCTGTTGGTTGGGGTTAAAGTGGCATAAGTTCACACGTGTGGGGTACGATGCGAGAGGCCTCCTGCGGACTCCTTCCTAACTAATTCCTCCTTCAACCCCTCGCCACTAACCACACACAAGCTATCTCTCACAATCTGCAGGGTATTTGTGGCCAAACATTGTATCCGCCACGTGGCATCCTCAACTTTTTGAAATTTTTCAAAATCATCCTCTTCCGATGTTTTCGATTTAACGTTTTGCATAGTTGACATGTTCATAACAACCCTTTAGGAAATATCCCAAAATTATTACCAACCCCCTTGGGTTGGTAATGATTTTAGGATCTTCCCCAATCTTATATATATAGCCAGGGGTTTTTATGAACCCAGGGCAGTTAGGTTCGGTTTCAGTCTCTTAATTTCTCTATCAGATTTTATCAAAGGGAATGGTTTAAACTATCAATCGATTAAACTTTGTTCTCGGGGTAAAAAAAATTTTTTCCCCTTGAAGATAAACAATTGCTCCCCAAAGGATTTATTGAACAAGTGAAGCTGAAATGAAATTTAGTAAATGAAGTCAATACCTGAGGACTAATTACTCTGGTAGGTCGTGAAGGTTTGTTGTGGGGCGGAGAAATTACGAAGGAGTATGGCTGGTGATTGGCCGGTAGTCAGTGCTATCGGGTGATATGCAAATTGCTAGCTCTGGCTTGCTCTCGCTGGTCCACGAGGAAAAAGGCGCGCGCGTGATTCGCGATAGGAACTAGTCGCTGAAGGCGTGACCAGCAATGTCGCGGGCGGCAGGGATTGGTCCTGTTCCTCCCCACCGACGCAAAACTAAATCCCCCACCAGAAGCATTCAGCAGTCCAGGCGGTCGCCGACTACCTACTCTCAATTCTTGTTTTCTTTTTTTTTCGCTTCCCTCCGCCGCTACGGCCTAACGACTCCCCCACCTTGTACTGCCGCCGGACGGTCGGACGGAGGCGTCCGTGTGCCGCCGCCGGCTTAGACCCTAGTGTAGCTGCACACATGCACGCGACAGCATCTAACCGCTCTTTCGCGTTCGCGCTCGAATTCATTCTTCCGATTGCGATAATAACTTCCTATGCGAGGCGTCAGTGACTGATAATACCTTCGACATTCTGGACCATTCTCTCCATGCAATGGATTAAGTGGTCGTGGTCATAATTAAGTGGTCCTGGATTAATTAAGTTCTAGACTGTCAAGTGTGACCTGTCCCCCACCTGACAGTGGTGATTAATTTGATAACGATTTATCCACCTGTCAGGATTGACACTTTTCTGGTATTCACTTTTTAGCAGTTTTACAGTTCATAAGTAGCGTACTGATTGGCGAATAAGGTGTCTGGTGATAACGGATGACTTTTAGTGGATGACAGTGCTTGAGGACCGGTGTAAATAAACGTGAGGTGGGTGACATTGTGTTTTTGAGTGACTCAAAAGAAAGACCATCAGCAATCATCTGGATGACTTGGCGCAATTCACGAATCTCCATGAGGATCAGCAAACTAACGATCGAGAGTTATCAACGAAGATCGTAATTTAAAGGACGATAATAGGGAACCTTGAGGATTCCTCGAGAGGAGTTGTAGACGAGATAGCGAGCACGTTGGATCTCGCGGCGTTGACAAGTTTCGGGGGCGTTTCAGGACCCAGGGTCGCGGTGGCGGGCACCGGGGTCCTCGCGCTGCCCGGCTTGATACCCGAGAAAGGGTTATCAGGTATCCAAGGCGTGCAGGCGAAAACAAAGTCCGCAGGCCTGGCGGGTCTCGATAGTGAGGCGGTACGCCGGTGGGTCGCGGAAGCCGCGCGTACCGTCCGGCAAATTCCGCCTCCGGTGATTGTGCCATCGAGTTCGCAACAACACCTCCCGCAACAGCAGCAGCAGCATCAACAGCATCATCATCATCATTCCGCCCATCGACAGCACCAGGAGTCCAGCCCGCCGTCGGTCGGCACCTCCCCCTTCGCTCTTCCATCATCAATGACCCAAACACCCAGTATGCATCTCCTGGAGAACAATAACCTAATAGAGGCTATGGCTCAACAGCAACAATCCCCCCAGCAGCAGCAGCATCATCAGCAATCCCAAAAGCAGAAACAAAATAGTCCAACAAATAATAACACAATTGAAGCCTGGAGATCAGTTCAGTGGTGGAGTCCCCCAAACAGTGTCCATCAGGAGCAAGTGGTACAACCGCAAAGTCTACCTGGTTCCTTGAGTCAAAGTAGGCAACAGACCTCGGAAATTGATCAGCCCTTGGACTTTTCCGTTGGATCATTGCAACAACAAAGACTGCAGTCGAGAAATCGAACGGTTCATGAGAGACTGCAAGGAAGAATGCAGGACAATAACAATGGAACCGGAAGCGGACCAAAAATCGCAAAGGGTAGCAGCAGAAGGAGTTTTAGTCCTAGCGATGCTAGCTCAAGTGGAAGCGAGGACGAAGGGGTTTCCACTGGAGGAAGTCCCGCGGGTCCACTACGGGGCGTCGAAAATGGTGAGTGAACAATGATTATCAAAAACCGTGACTTCGATGATGAGCAATTTGTTATTACACTCTTTGTACCACATTCACAACCAGCGGCTCTTTCTTTATCATTCCTAATAAATTCCACATCACTTTTCATCTAAACCTGATAGTTTTCTTTCTTTTTAGTTTCCCAATAACATCCAAATCAAATTACATCGTATTAGAAATGGATTCAACCCTAAAAATCATAAGAGTCAATTTCGCTATCTTTTCTCATGTGAAATTGACTCTTACGGTTTTTAGAGTTGAGCCTTCTTCCAAATTCACGATTCAATTATAATGGAATTGCAACCATTCAAATTGTATTCAAAAATGAAAATTTAATTATTCAAATTGTAACTAAGAATTGAATTACTAAAATTGCAATTGAATCTTGAATTTCGAATAGGGTTAAACACTAAAAACCGTATGTTATTTTCGCTATCAATTTGTTCTGTAAAAATTGCTTTGACGGTTTTTAGAGTTTAGCCTTTTTCCAAATTCACGTTTCAATTGTAATCGAATTGCAATCATTCAAATTATAATGAAAATGAAAATTTAATCATTGAATTTCTTTGTATTGGCTATAGTTGTTCCATATCTGGGACTAGAGGCCATTTAACCAGAAGAAAGAAAGAAATCATTGAATTTGTAATTAAATATTGAATTTAATTATCGAAATTGTAATTTAATTGTGAATTTCGAAAAGGGTTAAACTCTTAAAACCGTTTTGTAAAAATTACTTTGGGGGTTTTTAGAGTTGAGCCTTTTTACAAATTCACGTTTTAATTGTAATCAAATTTCAATCATTCAAATTGTAATCAAAAATGAAAATTTAATTATTCAAATTAAACAATTTAATGTAATTACTAAAATTGCAGTTCAATCGTAAAAGCGTTAAAGTCTAAAAACCGTATGTCATTTTCGCCATCAATTTGTTCTGTAAAAATTACTTTTACGGTTTTAGTTGAAACCCTTTTCTGAATTCACCATTCATTTGTAATCGAATTACAATCATTCAAATTTTAAACAAATATTAAAATTTAATTCAAATTCTTTTCCTCAAATTCACTATTCAATTGTAATGGAAGTTTAATTATTCCAAAATAACCAAATTGAAAAATTAATTATTCAAATTGCAACCGAATTGAAAAGTTAACTATAGTATTCAGATTGTAACCGTAAATTGAATTACTCAGATTGTATAACGATATAGAAAACTTAATTATTAAAAAATAGTGATCGAATATTTATAATTACTCAAATTGTCATCAAAGTGGAATGGAGACAAATAATTATTGGGAATGATAAGGAACAAAGTGTGTTTAACTAAAAAGGATCATTTTTCAAAAATACATTTTTGAATATTACAAGAGGGAGAATACAACAACAAATGTTGGAATAGGATATGGGGTATGTCAGCTGTTCATCCAGCATCATCCCCAGGCGTTAAACACCCACGCGTCCTTTCTAAACTCATATTGTACTCCGACTCATTGTTATATTGTGCGTGCGATGCTACATTGTGCAAGATTCATCACCCTCCCATTAAAAACTCACCTGTCCCAAAATATTCTCGCGTGCAGCACTCTTCAAATGCACTTCTGCATTTGGAGCACCGGACCCCTTTCTTATATTCTACTTTGCATTTACAAAAAAAAAGAGTTACTAGTTTCATTGTTAACTTTAATCAAATTGCAACAATTGATACCCAAAAGTCTGAATCAAATAAAAAATTGATCTAAATTTTTGGGCAATCAATTTGATTCACTTTAGTAGGAGTTGTAATTTTAATATACTATCAAGAAAACTGTATAGTATAGTCTCTTCTATAGTCTATATAAAATTAATTACTTGTTTGAATACTATAATTTCTATAAAGCATCAATTTGGGTTGTTATATCATTAGATGATAAGGATCTCTAATTGAAACGTTTCAATTATCTATTTTAATAACCGTATGTCTTAATATTCATTTATTGATGTTAATGTGTGAAAATTAACATGTTTGTTTATACGGGATTGTTGTCAGTGTGTAAACCTACGACTTAAATGATTATGTGTCTACTATGACTTAAATGATTGTGTGTATCTAAATGATATGTATGTCTAAATGATGTGTAACCATATGTATGTACAAATAATTATGTTTCTATATATATGTGTACCTTTAGATGATGGTGTTCCACACTCAATACCTCGTGTGTGTCTTGGTTATTTTCATAAACATATATTATCCATTTCTAATTCATGTTAAATGAACTGTGAAACTAGCAGGTTATTAATCAGTTAAGATTTCTTTCAATGTTCTTATTAATCACATTACCACCTGGAGGTGTTGTTCGACTTTTGATTCCGGCTTCCTGATAAGCATCTCTCTCAGACGTGTGGACAGTCTATGAATTTTAAAGAAATCGTTGATCGGATTTTGAGATAGTGTCACATTAAGCTGTGAAATTAACATATTTGAAATAATCCAATGTCAAAATTCATCTGTTTCAACTAATTGTTGAATCTTGTTATACCTAACAGCATCCGAATATTCAGGATATCCTTTAATTTTAGGAAATGATTAATTAGTATAATATATTAATTTTTAATCATAAAAGTAGTATTTAAAATTTATTCAGATCATCTTGTTAACTTCTTTTAAGGTTTAAAAACGAGAAAAAATGTTTTTGAACAAAATTATTTGAGTGCAGTATAGATTTTTTATCATAAAAATAAATGAGTGTCTCATGCAAACGTGTACAACTGATAATAATTTACGATAAACTAATGTACAATTCGTCATTCATTGTTAGTCAATTACGAGGAATTGTCTGATCTTTTATAACGTTTCACAGTTTTTGATCTTTGCCGACGCGCATAAATTATATTTAAAGAGCTCAATTCTCTATAATTAGTCATCATCTCTCCCACTTCTCACTTCATTAAATTAATTTGAATAGCCCGCATTTCCAGGAATGCAAACAACTTATATATATGTATACGAAAAATTACCATCAGCTATATTAGACGCAACATCCTTTTGGAGAAATATTAATTATTATTTTGTCGCAAATATTGACAAAATTAATCCAATTCACACAAAACATACATAAAATTCTAGCTTTAATATCTATATATACTCGAAACGGAATTTAATGCTTATCAGTCAAATCTAATTAGATCGCGTATAAATAAAAAGAATCACGTTTTTCAACAATGTTCTAAATGGACATTTAGAATATGACAATATAATAAATTTCAGATGAATAGATTGTTTTTGAAAGAATAGAAGTATATTTCAAATGATAAGTTAAATATACTTATTGATGAAAATTGATAAAAATTTACTAAAAATGAGAATGTAAAAATTGATATGAAGAATCATTATTATAAATAAGTCAAAGTGCAGGTGAGATAATTTCTTTTTAAGAAAAATGTTACATGAACCTTTTTTACTACTATAATCATCATCAGAATAGTTGAAACTCCATAAAAAAAATGTGTGGACAATTTGTACAAATTAATCCAGTTATGACAAGATTAGCACTTAAATGTTTGAGAGGAGCGATTTATCCATCATTTTATGCGTTGCGTGATGATTCGCAACACGTGTGCAACTGTGCTTGAGAGGCACGTGATAACAAAAAAAAGACAAATCTATGAATGAAAAAAATTACACAACTTTTTTATAGTTAAAAAAGAGGATTAATCTGTTGTTAAAAGAGGATGAAAGAAGATAAGTCTACAGACTCTCCAACATCTGGTTCATAATTTAACGTTGGAGTACTAAATTACCCCAAAACTTGTATTGTTCCTGAAGTGTTCGTATTTATTCAAAAATAAGTTTAAAATAATGCATATTTTTTCAATTCTTCCTATCTTCTAAAATTTGGTTTAAAAAATTGAAAATTCGAAAACAAATACCTTAAATTTCACAAAAGAATAATATAAATTGAATTTTGGCTAGAATACCAAAATACCCCGCATAGGAGGGGTTAAAATGGACATCTAGGGGTAAAATGAGCATCAATTTGTATAAGGAGAATTTATTTGTATACAGTTACAAGGAGGATAACCTGTATATGTTAAGAAAGGAAAAAAGGAGGATAAACTTAACAGGAAGATCAAAAACTAAAATTTAATTCTTACTCAATTAATATAATTTCTGTATTTCAATTATTGCCCGCGATATAATAGAAGATAAATTGTTTATAAATATCCGATAAGAACTTAACATGCTAACTAGGTGAGGCAGATGGCGTCAATTTTTAATTTATCTCACTGATAAGTAATCTGACGCACGATAAAAGATTTAAAATGCGTATTACACCTATCTATATTTTATATATTTACAAGTACATTTCTCTATCTATGGTGATTTCGAATTAGTCACAATATCCTTGAATTCGTTCTTTTTTTTCATTTTACTAAGCCACTAAAGGTATATACATTCGTTATTCGCATATAATAGCGTCATACTGAAATTCTCACGAATTTTCCAATTCGCATAAAATATAATAATTATTCTCACGATCGTTATCTTTATTTATATACATGAAACTTGTCAATTACTCACAGTTTTTGAAAAAAAAAATTTTCAAAAACTCTTCGAGAAATGAAAATTTTACGTCATTCATCTATTTTGAATATATTTTGATATTAATCTTAAATATATACAAAATTTTGCGTATAAAGAAAATTAGAAAATTTGTTTTCCCCTTTCGGATCAGGATTTAAATATATTTCTATATAGGAAAAGATTATAAGATAGGAATTTTTTATTCATTGTCAGCGTAACAGTATGATTTGAATCTTTTTCTGTGTCTCAATGAAGAAAAAATGCAATGAGAGATTAAATAATAAATCAATCGTTAAATGCCTTGACAAGAAAACGCGATAGAGAGGGCTGATAGACGGTATAGCGCGATTCTCGAGGAGAGCCGTCGGACGACTCGCGTGCGGAAAATTAGATAGCGTTTCAATTCGTGAAAGTAAAC